GGGGGAGGGGGGGTCAGTGCGACTGGGGGACCCCTCTGCAGCAACCCCCCCGGACATGTATTCCTGGGGGCCAGAGGACCCCAAACCCCTCCCCCCACAAACATCCGGGCAAGAGCCCCCCCCTCACCTTGGGGGGCAGGCGAGACGCCAGCCCCTGGCTCTGCCAGTCGGCCTCCCAGTCGTGCTGCGCCCCCAGGTCGCCCGCGTGTCGCTCCAGCAGGGAGGGGGCCACGGCGCCCGGCTGGGGGGGCTGGGCCGGCACCGGGGGCAGGAACCCCCCGAAAAACTCCCGGCGCTCTGGGGGGGGTAGACATGGAGGTCAGAGCCTGCCCCCTGCCCCAGAGCCATGCCCCCCACCTCCCACCCACGCCCCCAGCCTGACCCCGCCCTGCTCCCACACATGCCCCCCTGTGCCCCCAATCCAGCCCCCCAGGGCCCACAGACCCCTCCACCCAGCCTACCCGAACTCAATCCACACCCCCCCTGCCTCAACCCCGCCCCGGCTCCCACCCACTCCCCCTCAATCCATGCCCCCTCCACGCCTCTGTGCCCCAATCCCCCCCCCCACGTCACCTACCAACCGGCCCCAAATCACGGGGCAGGACCAAGGGGTGGGCGTGAAACGGTTTCAGCAGAGAGGTGCCCTGTGGGGAGAAAACCAATGCCGTTAGCCTGTGGAACTGCCTGCCACAGGATCATTTGAGAGAGGAAAGGGGGGCGCTGCCAGGGGACGCCTGTGGGGTGAATCCCAGCTGGGGGGGTGGGGAGGGTTATGGGGTGGTAGCACCTCGCAGATAGAGAGCAATGATGGGCCAGTTCCTCCGGATGGGGGCGAGGCAATGCTGGTGCAAAACAGGAAGTCCCGTCCCGCCCGCAGAACCACTTCTGCTCAGGTCTGCACCAGGTTTGGGAGGGGCCCCGGCAGGGCAGGCTGGACCAAGCCCCGGCAGCGAACGCCCCGAAATCCAACCAGCGCCTTCGGGGAGATCGGAACTGGATCGAGCTGGTTAACGGCCCGAACCTGAACCTTCCGCCGTCCTCCCGACCGTTCCCCACCCGCCTCGTCTGACGCTCCGGCATTAACCCGAAGGAAGGTTTGTAACGACAACGGAATTC